CTTAAGATATATAAACCTTTAGATTTCAACTGTTGTTTCAATGTTCAAGTAATGTTGGATTTATCATTTATATATCTCGTAAGGTGATATTTTATATAAGAAACATCAATATCACATTATTAATTATTATTAATTAAACAATCAATATTTTCTATAATTATATATAAGATATATTCAATCATTTATCACATTAATAGAATAAAACGGCATCGTTTTGCCATTTAACGTAGAGAAACAATATCGTTTTATACTGTAAATGCAGGGTAAAAATGGATAAAAAAAAGAAATGTCACTGTATCAATCACGAAAATGATTGAAGACAACACAATATCGTTTTGGCTCCCACAATGGAAAGAAAAAAAAAGAATTTAATACAGTGTAATAAAATGGAAGAATTCATTGTTCTAACTATAGTAATTTTCTATTCCCTTTTTTTATATGGTAGGGATATATGTCAGTTCTCAAGGTGAACTAATATTAATTTAAGAGATGTTTCATTTGTATCTATGCAGATCTATTCTTTTAAAAAAGTAATGTTTTCATAAGTTAAATAGGTTTAAATGTTTAATCCATTCTTGCTCATCGTGCTTAATACTTAGTGTTACCATCCAACTTCATATAACGTTTTAATCAAGCCATCTGATTATTACCACAACAAAAATTATGCAAACACACTAGAAAAATTCACACCTAATTATTACCCCAAAAAAAAGGAATTAGAATCAGAAATAAAAATAAAAATAAAAAATACACAACATAATAAACAATTTTTTTTTTATTTCTGCTAGCACACAAAATATACAATTAATCGTACGCGTTCTAACACACACTTTTGATATACACAAAAAATAAAAATAAAATCTACTAACCCAAATCAGGAAAAATTATGTAATATAAATCAAACCCATATCAAGAAAAAAATCTGTGTAAAAATTATAAAATGCAAAAAAAATAAAAATAAAAAATCACTAACCCAAATTAAAAAAAAAAAATATATATATATATATATATATATTATATATATATGATTTTTATAATATAATATAATATATATTAAACCCAACTCATGCATATATATATATATATATATATACATACATACACACACACACACACTAGTCTATTGCCCATGCAATGCACAGGCATTGTTATTTCGAGGGTAATGTTAATGTTCCTAGATAATAGATTTATTTCTCCTTTTTTTGGTGGCTTCTTCTTAAACCTTTAATGCATAATATAGCATTTTTTCATATACTCACTTCTTAAAGTGAAGATTATAAATACTCAACTTTATTATCAAACATCATGAAAATAGGAAATAATTATGAAAAAACTCTAATATTTATTAAATGGCAAATGGAACCTAATAACATTGAAGAACTGCAACAGAAATTCTAAACCTAGATGACAAAAATTATCGAGTCAAGGTAATAAAATGTAATACCCCGAACTTCACGTTCTACATTTGGCTAATATGATTCATGCATTTCATGCTAATTACATTGTCATTTGTATCAATTTCCTGATTTCCTTCTCTTAAAATGATGCATTTGATCATCAAGGCTTTAAAATCTTTACATGATGATAACCTTCGACTCTTCGATTTAGGTGGTGAATTTTATATTGAGCTATGATAGAAAGTTAGATTAACTAAATGTTGGAGATTGGCTTGGTAAGTAATGTAATATTTGAAAGGCCGAAAATTTGTATCAACGAAGGTTCAAGCTTTCCATTCGGCTAATCGAGGTCATCTTAAACCCTAGATAGGTAATTCACATATTTGGGACATGAGGGATGAAGTGACATTATCACAACGTAATAATATATGTCTTATACGATATTATAAATATTGAGGTGCGAATTGTTGAAATCGGTTGAGAATCGGGTAAGAAATTAAATGAACAGTTGAGGAATTAGATCTATAAAGTACTTTGGGATCTTAATGCAAGTGAAATAGATTGTAAGCACATCAAAATAAAAGAATGACACTTGATTTATACCTGCAAGGATAGAGGTAAAATCAGAATTTAATCAAAGGAGACAACACCTACTTAACATGTGACGACTTGCCACTTTAATCTCTAATTCCTTCAACCTTAAGCCTCCAACACGTCCTATAAGTCCTTAGAACTTTACACAAGATATTTATAACTCTTCTAAGTCACATATGGCTCCATGTGGTGCAAGGGAGAAGTCAAAGTTGGCTGCAAGAAGCCACCTCCTACTTGGACAGCTCATGCTAGGGGACTTTTCACTTTAATATATAATTGCTTCAACCTTAAGGCATAAATTTCGTGTCTAATCCCCAAGGACTTAATATAGGATGAATATATATCTTAAATATCATAAATGGACACAAAAATAATGGTAGAAAAGTCAAGTATTGCAGCCAAGATGACAGCTCCAGCTTAGTGACTCACCTTGATTGCTTGAGGTGGCTGCAGCCCATGATATTCTTAATCCTTAAGTAATATGCACGACTTCATCTATTTAAAGACCACTCATTTACCTCCTAGATAATATATTAACTCCCTGAATTCGTCCCTAAGTGATTCCAAGTGAAAAGAGGGTGAAACAGTCAAAGAGAAACAGAAACAAGAAGCTGGAATTTCTGAACAGCTTTGTTACTCCACAGTTTTGAGGTTTGTTTCTATTATTTCTTAAGGGGTTTATGATTTCTTGAACATCTGAAGTTGTTTGTGATTAAGTTGGAGTGTTGTTAATGATGTTATGATGCCTAAATAGGGGTAATTAATGGCAAGAATTTGAAAGAAATTAATCTGGACAGAGATGAGGAATTGCTGGATTGAGTGATTTATACCTTGATTTTGGGATGATACTTAGTGTTTAACTTATATATATCAATATGAACGTTTTTATATGTAAGTAGGGAGTGTAGAAATGATTTTAATGGCCTATAATTCTTTTGGTATCATAATAATAAAATGGAAACCGAAGACAGTCAAAGGGAAAAAAACTGCCTGCTTTTGTGTAGTGGAAAATGGACTGTTTTTGAAGCTCCAAACACTTCATTTGTCACAATGTTATGATCTGATTATCTTCACATATATGTTATAGGTGTGTGGAAAAAGTTTGGGAATCGTTAAATGTAGGTAAGGACATGAAAAAGAATTTGAAAAATGAGTGGACGGTGATGGAAACCTAGAAAACAGATTCAGTCCATTTGGGTATTTAATGTGATTTCAACATTTAGATGTCCCCTAATGAACTCTTGGGCGTAGAAAATATATCCTAAGGAATACTAGGTTGTTGAAAATAATTGGATGACGTTGACGTTCATAATTGGACTCGAGAGACAGCGAGACTTATTGGATTAGTTTGTAATGCCATCCGTAACTTGAAATAATGATTTTGTCTAAATTGTTTTGGCATGAATGGACGTATTTTGGGATTGTGTGTGTTAAGATTATTAAATGGAGGATTGTATTTAATATTAGATGATAATACAGGCAACTTTTTGACGTTGACCGAAAAAGGGAATTGATACACACTCCATAGGAGCTTACACACATAAAGGCGAAAGGTAAGTGAAAATCCATTTGCAAGTACGATGCAAGAACCTAGTATATGTGACATAGTAATGTTGAAATATCTACATAACTTTGATAAGAGGCTTATAGCATATCATATGGTGGTTACGATCATTGAGTATGAGATTGCGTAACCTATTGACATCGATTTTCATTTATGAGCATTTTCATATGCATGCACGACATGTAACATGGTTGAAAATCCTGCATGCAAAATATGATTTCAAAGTGAGTTTCATTATAAATGTTTTATTGACCACTACTAGGGCACCGAGGCATATGAGGCATGCTTATGTGATATGTTAAGCATTGTGGGTGTTACTTCCTGGGTGATTGCAAAGGTAGATAGGGGATGGGCCTTTGGTGATCACGGGATGGCGGACCGCTCGACTATGCTCTTGTTATGATTATTGGCACCGCCCGGTGGGAGACTTCTTGGGTGATCATAGGGGTAGTCAGGGGATGGATCTCTAGTGGTCATGAGAGGATGGTCCACTTGTCGGTGTCGATTTCATACTGGCCACTTGATTATTGATATTGATATTATGCAGAGCTCTATCCGGTGCATAGTAGGTGGGTCAAGGGCCCAATGAAATGAAAGATTTCAAGTGAAATGATTTCTAGTCGACTTTGACGAATATTGAAATATGATATTTTTATCATGATATTTAAAGTAAATGACATGGTGTCATATGTTGTTATTACTCATGTTCAGGACATGCATGATTTTGCTTACTAAGCATTGGCTTATGTAGTTCTTGCATTGTAGGTGAACACGGAACTACATAGAGAGCATGGCTAGCTGTGGAGCTCCTACAGGATTCCAGAGTTTGATGTACATGGATGACGACCTGTAGGGTTATTTTGTAGGCTACCATCTGTTGGGTTATATTTTGGAATCCTATATAGTGTACTTTTGAAATGGCCTGTAGACATGTTTATAAGCTCTGAATATATATGTATGATTATGGCGATATGATTTTAGGCTTTGATATATTATATGATCGTGTCACAAGTGATTAGAAGTTAACAAACTCAAAAAAATATATATGTAAAATTCTATGTTTAGGTTGTGTATAGATATCAATATTAATTTGGGGATGTGACATAAAAGCACCTTCTTTCTCCCCTCCGCATGGAACGTGATATCCTACCAGCAGATTTTGATGCTCGACAATCCAATAAATGCCAAATCACTATGCATGATTCAGAATGGCAATAAGTAAATTGAACAAAGAACTAATCTTATATGCGGAACCAGTCTCCAACTTGTGCTCAGAATCCACTGACTTCATTTCTTTCTTTACTACGGTTAGTGATCCCCCAACTCCCATTTTTATCGATTCATTTGGTCTTCTGTGAATTTTATTCCACCTCTCTTTAAGTTTCATGGACTATGTCAGTCACCAGTCTTATGGGATTCTCATCATGCATGGTTGAGTGTCGTTGCTATTGTTGCTTGTGGTGGATGATATTGAGGTTTAGCCATTCACAGATTCTATTAATGCAAATAACATTACTAAAAGAATTCAACAAGTTGATAGAACCAAAATTCAATCTAAATCATGGGAAAATATAGATAATAAAAATTCGATGCCAAATAATACCCTCAGTAAGTTGCCTTGTCACATGGGCATTCTTTCCATCTGAAACATACAAATAATTTGATGTGATTAAAAATCAGATTAACCATCCAAAATTTCTTCTATCAGTATAATCACTTTTAACAAATGAAATATGCATCGAAGATTTGATGTGATTTAAAATAAAAAAAATCCCCTTTTCAACACGTGAAATCCTCATATTTTTCTGTTATTTATCTAATAAAGCCTGGCCATTTGCATGACCCGACCTTTCATAACTCATTTATGATAGGTAACATGTGCCAAGGTCAATGGTAGGATCAATATACTTCTATCATATATTTGACGTACAATGGATGCCAACCTCTTTCCACAAGTTGCATTTGATTCACCAATGGCAAGGAAACTACAACCTGGAGATGTAATTGATTTTAGTTCTCGGGAACAAAATAGAAAAGGCTTTAGCAGGAGTACCAAAACTAAAGTTCCAACTCATTAAAGAGAATCATTAATAACTGCAGTATAAAATACCTAGCACTTCCCAGCTTACAATTACTATAAACGATGTTTAGGAAGCTTGCTTAGTTCACTCATAAGGCGGAGACAAAATCTTTTTTGTTGATGAGAGAACATCATCTTTTATGTTATTCTAAATAAGTAATCTTAGTTTCAAAACATTTTCACTCGTATATCTAGTTTGGGTTTTAAATTCCAAATCATATAAAACTCAAAATATATAGATAAAAAGATGATTCATACTTCAACATTCAGATTGATCCCACTATAATTGACGACTTCGTTGGTAACTCTAGAAACCATGGTAGAAGGATCACAATACTAGATATATGAGAAAAAGTATATGCCATTCTATTGATTAAAGACTTACTGCTAAAGGCGCCAAGGAGAAACTTACTTAGCCAATTTATCAATCTGAGCTTCCCAATTACCTCTGCCAGCTCCTCCATGTTTTACTTGATTTCTGCAATAGAATGAGAGTACAATGGAATATAAATGTCTAAAGATTGCAAAGATGCAAGGACAAAAGAGAGATTAAGTTAGGAACAAATAGGGTGTTCAATTTCATCTTTGCTAGCATTTTTCAATTTCATCAAGCTGATACAATAAGAATTGAAATCCCGAATCTAAGTTGCCATTGTTATTTTCTTTCTCAAATCTCAGCAATCAAACCTCTGATTTCTAAGCAAATCTTTTTCCAACAAAAAAAAAATGGAAAACAAAGATCTTTTCAAAACTTTCAGTAAACTTAAAGAGAAGCAATAAAAATGAAGCAATGCACTAAAGTTTAATTTTTGGAACTCAATTTCAAGCTAGAGATCATCAGATCAAAATTGATTTTGACATCAGTATCAAGATAATCAATCAATCCCTTCTGAAAATGATCATATTCTTAATTTCTTTGTTAGCATTTTGTATCATCATCAATTAGAGCACAAAAAGCAAGAAGAAACAAGAAAGCCAAATTCATTGAAGACAATAAAATCCATATGAAAGCCAAAATTAAATACTTTCAACTAACAATTAGAAGAAAAATCTGAATAAATGCACAAACATATATAAATAGAGATAGAGAAAAAGATTACAATATCAAGAGGGGTTTTAAGTGGATTCATAGTACTTATGTTTCCACGAGAGAAAAAATCGAAATAAACATTTCTTACCACTGGTGCAGATCTTCGTTTTGCAGTATTAGATTATGTTTCCAATGTACATTATGGAAGTGAGCATTTCCTGCAAATGAACATCTAAACCTGAGATATGTGTTCTTATTAGGCCATTAAAAGCAAGGAATTAAGGTTTCAAAAATTCAAATGAGCAATATCATCATGAGGCCATGGACATTATATATGCAAACTTATATGAAATAATAAATATAGGTCATGAAGAGAAACAAAAATCAATATACTGGGCATATTATTTTTGCTAAGAAATGGGCCGAATTGCATAATGCTCGTAGGGCAAAACACATTGTATATGCTCGTAGGGCTTCTCTTGTATATTATTAACTTAAAAGGTGGCACGAAATATATTGAACAAGAAGAGAATCATATATTTATTTAAAATTAATATTCAATGAATCCATTTTGAAGAACTAAAACAAACTTAGTTCTATCGGTGAACAGTCTATAGCGTTTGCAAGAAAAACATTAAAATAGCACATTCATCTACAAGATTATTGATCATAAGCAATAGTAAGCAATTAGTATGAGAAATATGTACAAGGAGGCAACCTCTCTGTGCTGTGGCTAACGATGCACCTCCCAGTAAGACTAAGCTGATGATCGAATAGTTGAAAGATGCCTGTCATATATCATGTTTGCTTTTGCAATTTTGGATTATCACCTGTCAAAGAATGTAAATTTTTTTTAGCCATTTTCACTCCCCTCACTTCAATGAAGGTATCAAAATCCCAAATGTCTTGTCTAGAATTTCTCCAACCTTTTCGTATACCCAACTTCCAATGCACTGGCTTTTCTTCTACAATACTGTCCTGTTTGCTTTTGCAATTATGGATTATCATCTGTCAAAGAATGTAAAATCGTTGCACCCATTTTCACTCCACTTATTTCATTGAAGGTATCAAAACCCCATATATCTTATCTTGTCTAGAATTTCTTCAACCTTTTCGTATACCCAACTTCAAATGCATTGGTCTCTTCTTCTATAATGTTGTGACCACCCTTTCAAACCAAGGACTGAATAATTCAAATTCTAAAGCAAACATACAAAATTCTTTCAACAGGCCTCTGATGCAAATAAAATGAAAACTATCTAAGTTCTGACAATATTATTTGAAGAATTTCAAGCAGCAGAAATTGAGAGAATCTCTCTCCTTTCCGTATTTACATAATTCACCAAGAATTTTCCCTTAATTACACACCCTTTTAGCTAAATATAATTACAGAACCAGAATCGATTAGCTCAAAACACTTGATATCCACCATATCAGGATTCTATCTTTGCAGTAGAAACTGCCATCAATTATCTTCGAGTAAATAAGAAAGACCAGAAAAAATTCGTTCGTCCTCTCTAAAATCTAGAGATAACCCCCGAAATTTTCCCCAGAATACCTATGAATCCTCATAAGACCTTTTTTGCTATTGTGTAGTGCATTGTTGTTCCAAGATCTTTACTTCAATTGAAAATAGTTCGATTTTCTCTCGTGCCTTTGTTTGAAATTTTAGTTAAACTTTCATAAAAAGGGAAAAATGTCCACAGGATCTGCAGAAGTGATCAAGAAACTGAAGAAATTAATAGGATTGGAAGAAATTGAAGGTCGATTCCAGTAATTAGTTTGAATCTTACCTTTGCTCTCCTTCTTAGGGCTTGCTTTGACTCGGTTTGTCGAGAAAGAAACTCGTGAAAAAGCAAGAGAGAGTGAATGAAGAAAAAAGAAAGCAAAATGCTCTTTATGTAAAATATCTATATCCTATTGAATAACCAGATAATGAACAGTAAAGAACCAGTTTCAGTGTGAATCGGAGGACAGAAAAATGAACCGTAAAGCCAACATTCACTCTTTTATATAAAAGCAATGAAATGAAATTATATAATTAATATTACTGATAAATTAAAATTAATTAAGTACAAATTTCAAAAATTCAATTCATTTACAAGCAATGAAACGTTAAATAAATGTTGAGCCGGAACTTAAAGGAGTGATGGACTACAAAAACCTCTCTAGATTACATGAAGGTGACAAGTCAAACAAAAAGAGTCATCTGTTTTAAGCAATAAGAAAAAATGGTGCTTCCAAAAAACGAGTAACCCAAATCTCGAACAAGTGAATTGTATTGAAGACACCGTCCACAAATTTTGAGATTTAAACAATTTTTATGAAGGGGAAAAAATATCAAAATCAAAACTCGCCTTATATTGATCGTAATAACACAGTTGAGGAGAACGAAACCAATCGTTGGAACTTTAGAGCAAAAGGACGTTGATTTCTCAAAACTCTTCGTCCCTTCCACTTCAATGCCTTCCTCCTCTTCAAAAATCAAACCGAAAGCATCTAAGAAAGTGAAATTCAATCCATAAATCCAAGATTTGAATGATAGTAGTCAGAGTATGAGATATTATCACCTTGCTTCGAGCCTAGCTCTCATCTTATTTGTTGGATTTTACCCTTCTTCTTCCTCATTTTTAGGGTTTGATTTTGTTGTGGAATGAGGAGTTGATCAAAAAAAAAATTGAAAAAACAGAGAATGTGTGAATGAATGAAGTGAGAGAAAGAGAAGTTTTATACCGAAGATAAAAATAGAGAAAAAATTGCTGCTCCGTGCTGCGTGGAGTCTATCTTTCATTATTATTATTATTATTATTTTAACAAAAAACAAAACAAGAAAGTCAATTTGCATTAATTAGCACTCTGAACAAAGTGAATACGATCGAATTTGCTGTCAATTTTAAAGTCAAAAATTCTGGCTTCTATGTTTTGTCGTTACATAAGAAACAGTGATATGTGAGAAGAAATTAAAGTGGGATTCTCTTTTTTTAATAAAGGGAATAAAATTAAATATTTAATTAGGAAACGAATTTGAAATCAAAAAGTGTTGGCTCCTTTATTTGCTACCCTGTTTGTATTAAATAGCTACAGTACAACTTATCAATTTTTATGAGTGTGAAAAAGTTAAAAAAAAAAAAAATAGTGCTGAATTTCTCTCCGCGATGCGCGGAGATGATCCCACTCCGCACTGCACGTAGTGTTTCACCAACTCTCCGCGCAGTGTGGAGGCCCTCTTTTTTTTGTTTATTTTTTTAGTACATATTTTTGGTAATTTGACCATAATTTTGGCTGCGGTTATCAAAATCGCGCCCATAACCCTAATTCGAAAAGCTTTTTTCTGCACGCATGTCGTGACATCGTTTTCAAGGTCAAAATTCGCTGTTTTTTCTTCCAAATCCCCAATTATAGTTATTTTCTTCCTTTTATGACATCTTTTATTATGAAAACATACTTTCTAATGTTGTAAATATTTATCCTACATCAAAAAAAAATAAAAATTGACGTCATACATATAAATTGTTTTTAGAAAATGATGTAAATTATATTAAAAAAGTTGTCGTGAAAAAAAAAATCAGAAAATAATTGATTTTTTTTAAGAAAAAAGATGAGTTTTACGCATTTTTAAATGTAATGTTTAACTATTTTCGATATTCATTTAGATTATTCAATGTGTCTCCAAACGAGCTTCGAAAAAATATAGAAGATTAATGAATTCGACTACCGTATAATCGTCGTTAAATTTTCAGATTTAACCTGTTATCGAAATTCTTAATTTTTTAAATAATGTCTCTTTTAACATTAAAATAATTTAAAAAGTGTATTAGGAAACTTTCTAAATGACGTAAAAAATTTAATAGATTATTTAAAAAATTAACTGATCGAAACAAAAAAATTCCTAAAAATTATCCGCGCAGCGCGGAGTAATTGCTCCTGGCAGCCAGGAGCCAAATATATATCTTTTTTAATTTTGCTCCTAGTTGCGCGGAGCCAATTTTTTTTTTTTTAATTGGACGATTAATATTTTTTTTGTCAACCTTTTTAAGACAGCGTTTAATGTACGTTTAACTATTTACGATATTCATTCGATACGTCTATAATATCTCGAAATAAGTTCGATAGAATATAAAATATATATTTTTTATAGATGTTGCGTAAATGAACGGAGAAAAGTAGGTGATAATATTTTTATTCTTTTATTAATGTTCATTATTTTTTCGCGACAATTTTCTCAATATAATTTACATCAATTTTCTGAAATTGATTATTTGTGGGGTGACTACTTGAACAAACGATTTTATAAAAAGAAAAAAATAGGAAAAAAAGAGTTTGGAGCAAAAATGCTCCAAATTGCTCCTTACAGCACGGAGCATAAATTTTTTATTTTATTTTTATTTTTAATTTCAGTTTCTAATTTCATATTATATTTTACCTTATAACGTGACAAAGAGTTTATTTGTAAAAATTTTTTCTTACTGTTACTTTTTCCTCTCGGTCAATTAATTTTTTAAGTAATCTAATAAAAATTTTGACGTTATTTAGAAAATTTCTAATAAATTTTTAGTTTTTTTTTAATCTCAAAAGAAATATCATTTAAAAAATTAAGAATTTTGATAACAAGTTAACTTTAAAAATTTATCGACGATTGTACGGTAGTCAAATGCATAATTTTTCTATATTCTCTGGAAATTCATTTCGAAATCTATATTATAGACATATCGAATGATTTAAATGAATATCGAAAATAGTTAAACCTAAATCAAACGCGTGTATTAAAATAGTTGACACAAAAAAAATATTAATCGTCCAATTAAAAAACTGGCTATGCAGAGTAACTTATCAAAATTTATTAAATTTTTTTTTTTAAGTATGACTAGGAGTGGACGTGGTCCGGTTCCAAAGGAAACCGAACCGAACCGAATAGCAATGAGAATTTTAGAAATGGAACCATTGGTTCCATAGCTAACTGTGGGACCAAATCGGAATCGAACCAATCGGTTCCGATTCGGTCCGGTCCGGTTCTTTATATTGAAAATGTCGAAATAAAATGTTCACTACTAAAACTCTAAAAATGCTACCAATGTGATACTTTTAACAAAATATAGAAAAATCGAACATACTATTCAAAAATTTATTTAAGTATAGATTTACAAAGTGAAAACAAAATAAAAATTTCACATTTTATAAATGAAATTATATATTGTAAATAAAATTACTTAGGTATAGATTTATCCAATATTCTAATTTGGTTTGAAAATCAATTAATCAAAGAATTATAAGAAGAGACAAGGAAAGAATCAAAGTGAAGAAGGAAAGTGCTGAAATCTAAAATTAAGAAGGAGCCCGATTATTTTTTTATAAAAGTTTGGAAATTGAGTCATATATTTTACCAAAAAAAAAAGAAAAAGTTCAATGAAAACTGTCTGGTTTCCTTGGTTCCCATACTAGAACCCAGACCAGATCGAAACCAATCGATTCTTGAAAATTTGTCCTGAAATCAAATTAATTTTTAAAAGATCTGGAACTAAATCGATCAGTTCTAAACGATTCCAGTCTGATTCCATCGGTTCTGAGAAAAAGTGCTCACTTCTAAGTATGACGTCAATTTTTTTTCTTTTTGTTTTTGGACGTAAAAATTTCTAATAAAATTATTATCGCCCTACTTTTCTTCATTCCTTTACGCAGCATCTATAAAAAATATATCTTCAATATTCCATCAAAACTCATTTTGAGAACTATATTATAGACACATCAAATGATCTAAATGAATATTTTACCTTATAACGTGACACAGAGTTTATTTGTAGAATTTTTTTCTTAGTGTTACTTTTTCCTCTCGATCAACTAATTTTTTAAATAATCTAATAAAAATTTTGACATCATTTAGAAAATTTCCTAATAAATTTTAAATTTTTTTAATCTCAAAAGAAACATCATTTAAAAAATGAAGAATTTCGATAACAAGCTAACTTTCAAAATTCATCGACGATTGTACGGTAGTCAAATGCATAGATCTTCTATATTCTCTCAAAATTCATTTCGACATCTATATCATAGACACATCGAATGATATAAATGAATATCGAAAATAGTTAAACATACATTAAACGCGTGTATTAAAAAAGTTGACACAAAAAATATTAATCGTCCAATTAAATATAGAGTTCTAGCTTTGTTCGAGCATCACATCATAGGCAATTGCATGGATTCTTCTACAAGAACTGAGCCACAGGTGGTGTCTGATTCTTAATTCCGAGCACGATTTTTTGGATGTAAAATGCATTAATCTTTGTTCTTAATAGCGAAGTTTGTTTTGTATATTTGGTTTATAAGTCCCCTTAATTCTTCTTCTTTTCCTTGTCTTTATTATTTGGGTTTACGAATTTATTCAGCTGGAGAACTTTTTGACAGTCATCTAACTAAGCATTTTTTATTATTATTTTGAAATTGAAGAATTAATTATTTTAGTTGATTATTTCTTTTTCTTTTTTTAAATTTAAGTGAAACAATAAAAATTATAACGATAATCGTCACTAATAACAAATTCTACACCCATAGTTTTTCATGATTGATATTTCGAATTTTAGTTCTGATTATTGTGTTTCAAGTCAATGGAGGACTTCAATTAATTAGATGTTATATTAAAGAGGAATTAATAAAAATTAGTTGAAGTAGTTGAAGTTATGCTGGCCAGTGTAAAAATTTCTCAACGATATGCTAATTTGTCTAGGCGTTTTGGTCTCCATAGGGAATGGGCTAAATTACCTTGAATGATATTCTTTCTAAGGAGTAATTATATTTCTTGATTATTATCAAGATTTAATCAATTGCTTCAAATTTTACAATTCAAGATTGAGAAGTCAGTTATGAAATGATTGTATAAAATAATTGAGTGGTGATGAATTAATGCTATGACCTCATTATCTCTTCTGCGAGTTCCTGAAACTTCAAAATTTCCCAGAAGTTCATTAGGTCCATTCAACGTAAGCGTTCCCTCTTACAGTGGCAAAGGCAATGTTCAAAGCCTCCCTACTCCATTTTCTGCAGTCAATAGTTGTAGGCCGCTGGGTCCCACAGGCCAATTGCATGCAAGCAACCTTCCAATTGACTATTGACTGACAAAGACAATCATTCAAAAATGTTGGAAAATGAACTAAAATGGGGCTCAAACGGAAGCATATGTGTGGTCCAGAGAAGAAAGCGTGTCACAGGAATATATTACTGTAGCAAAACCGAATAAGTTGAATATAGTGTGAAAAGCTATGTGACATAAATGAATAGTAGAATCAAAGCCCCTCTTTTAAGAGGTAGTAGATATGTGTGTGCGCGCTTTCATATAATTTTTTTCAAAGTTTTTGTAATGATTTTTTTTCTTTTTCTTTTTCTTTTTCTTTTTTGTGATTTTTAACTCCCCCCGCCCTTCTTTCCCCCTTTTGTGGCAATTACTATGTGTGAATTTTTTTAGCGTTCGTGTGTGTTTTTTCATTTTAGTAATAATCAAATGGCTTGACTGAGACGTTATATAAAATTGAATGGCCATAGTGAACCAAAATAAATTTTTGTGGCCATGATAACACTAAATATAA